CTTGGTAACCAGGCAATGTAATTGTATCTACTTACCAGTCCTCTTTGTAAAGATGCGCACTTTTTACAAAACAACAATAAAAACCAGTATACAAAGCCGTTTCATAGGGTTATTTTGAAAAACAAAGATGCGGTTTCCATGGTTACGAGTGCAAAATATGATGGTGCATTTTATAAAAACCCCCAAACAACTGAAAATACCCTGATATTATTTAAAAAACCAATTGTATATGAAAGATTAGTGCTTAAACTTACAAAAAATATTGTTTTCAAAAAATTCAATTTTTTAATATTTTTTTCCTATCGAGCCACCTTAACATTGTTGTGATGTTGGGCCTCATGTTGAATTAGCTTGAACGAGTCTCTCGATCGGGATGTTGGCAAGTTGTCTTCTACTTTTGTAATAAAATGGCAGCGCTTAAATTCTGTTTAATTTGTTCCATTCCAACTGCGTGAGCCCGTACGACGGATGGTCAGTGCACTGTCAGTGCAAGTTCGCTACCATCTAGCACAGTCATAATTTGTTAGTTTTGAAATATGATTGCAACTCGACATTTTTGTTCAAATGTATCTCGTAGCTTTCGCGCTCTTATAACTGGGGCTCCGGGGTCAGGGAAAGGGACTATTTCATCTAGAATTGCTCGTGATTTTGGTCTGGTTCACTTGTCAAGTGGAGATGTTCTACGTCTGCATGTCAAGCAGGGCTCCCAACTTGGAGTCGAGGCCAAGGATTATATTGATCAAGGAGCATTAGTACCAGATGATCTGATGGTAGAACTTATGACTAGTGAAATAGAACGACTTTCAAATAAACGCTGGTTATTGGATGGTAGGTGAAAGGAGTTTTCCAATAACTGGACTAATTAATACCTGTAATATTAAATCCTCTATAGGTGATATGTGGTTAATAGCACTTTTTTCCATCCAGCAAACCGCCCTATCGATATTCTAAAGTCGGTTTTTAAAAAATTTTTTTATTAATTCGGTTAGGGCCAGACTGCAAACTTTGGAAATTGCGCGCGGAAGATTTCGAAAATTTAATAGTAAATATATAGAAAGCATAAAAAATGCGTGCGGAAGTTCTTCCGCGCACGGTGGAGAAAAGAGGGCCCCCTATACGTTTTGCGTGAAGGGCTTATTTTACTTAGCCGTGAAACGTGATCGATGATTTTCTTAATCCGTGACTTGTGAAAAGGCAAAATATTTTTACGTGAAAGCATATTGTGAAGAGGTATAGGGGGCCCTCAGAAAATGCAGTCTGGAGTTAGGGTTGTGGTTAGGGTTAGGGGTTAGAATAGGGGTAGGGTTTGGGTTAGTTACATAGCCATTTAACACATCTTCCGAAAATGACGTCAGGTCAGTTTGCTGGATGGAAAATAGTGCTAACCGTGATATGTGCAACCAATCCCAGTGCCATATGGGATTCAAAGGACAAAGAGATTTTTGCCATGTTGGATGATATTTGGATTGCAAACAAGCAAAATCCTTAATGTCAATGTCATCATCCAACATGGTGACAGTGACATAACTTGCACACCACCTATTGAGGCTATTGACAGACCCCCCCCCTCCCCCCCATTTCAGCCATTTTTAGGGGGCCTGTTAATAGAGGAGGGAATAAATAGGGAGGAAGGGTCCAAAATACATTTCTAATAATACAATAGAACACAATAAAACATTGCAATGTTTACTGAAAATGGTCAACATTGCATTGTATGCAGAGTACAGTACATCAAACATTGGAATGAAAACTGAATTTAAACAATAAACATTACAATGTATAGCTAAATTACTGGTCAACATAATGTATACAGCAACATACCAGGTTGGAATCCACTGGTAATACACTGGATATCTCTGGTGTAAAATGTTCTCTTGATATTTCACATCAGTGGCTAGGGATGTGCCGGATACCGATATCCGGTAAAATTTAGACATCCAGCGCTATCCGGTATAAATTTGCCGGATATTTACCGGATAGTACTGTAAGATATTTTGTTACAACCATGAAACGGAAAAGTTTACTTGGCGTTTAAAACGAACAATTACTGAGCGTGAAACACGAACAATTACTGAGCGTGCGCTGCATTACGACAAAATTACGACATATTTTTTTCATGATGGTGATGTGAACTGCTCGTTCGACAATAGCAGTGAATTTTATATACTGAATACCACTAAACAATGTAAGGTGAATCATAAGATATGGCCTTGGTAAAGACAAATAGGTCAAAGAGACAAAAAACTCTTGAAGTTATTGTATTAAACACATTGCCACATTGGACTAGTTAATTAAACTATAAAAATGTTGTGTTTCTAATAAATTGTTGTATGGTAGTATCTGGTTATTATCCGGTTATTATCTGGTATCCGGTCATCATTTTCTCCTGACCGGTATCTGGTAGACTACTATCTGGTACTATCCGGCAAAACAGTATCCGGCACATCCCTACCAGTGGCATGTAATCTTGATTGATATTAGCTTTCTATCATGTACTGCTGTAAGCTTATTGACATAACCTCCAGATTCCAACCTGCACAACAATATATTGCAATGTATAGGTAATGTAAATTAATTTAATGGTCATTGTGCATTAGACATTCAGTTTATAAATTTACCTCAACTATAGTTATAGAATCCATAGAACAGCAGTGCACCAAAAAGAATTATTATAATAAATTATTGATAAATAGGAAGAGGAAATTGAAAGACAAATATTCCACAGTACAGTATGTCAACAATGCAAACTTCATCCATTATAAACAGGGTTTGTACGGGTCCTGGAAAACCTGGAAAGTCATGGAATTTCAATGTTCCAAAATCCAGGCCTGGAAATCAATTATTTAGTGATCAGGTGCATGTACTGTAGTACCATCACAAACAACAATGCATGCTACACTGCATTGCATGCATAGGCATAGCATAAAACACAAATTTGCATGCATGCATATGACATGTATGCAGGGTTTAAAATAGCAGCTGGCTGTCAGCTGTCGCCAGCATTCTCATATTTCTAGCCAGTGACTTTTAAAGTAGAAATGCACAGCAAGTTTCTCCATAATCCATTAAGCTTTATGATAAATTTATAGGTTTTTAATTAAAAAGATTCTGTCTTGACATAAAACATGGGAACAGTGGAAATCATTTCCGAGTATAATTCATATAAAAGAGCCACGCATAATTTATACAATCTATTTTTACTGCCAATTTGTATTTTTTCTCAAACTTGAAATTGAATTATCAGTGTCCTTGGTATTAAAAGGCATGCAGTCTCTTTTCATGGGTGGGTATTTTCTGCATATTAGTGGTATTCATGTTTGGCATATCGGAGCCTGAAACCTGAAAAAAATTGCCGGTACAAAAAGGTACATGTACCAAACAGCTGACAAATATATCTATATTCAAAATAGTTATTTTAAACGCTGGAAAATGCACGTTTTGTGCATACAAATGTACATGTGGCATGCATGCCTTTTTTGGAAGGGATTTTACCACCCAAAAGTAGTCAAACCCGCGCTCCCCCATCCTATAAGTAGTGCCCTCCTCTTCACTTGAAAATGCCCCCAACAAAAACCGAAAGTAAGGGGCCTGCTACTTTTGTTAATCCCAGAAACAGTTAAGTTGGTTTGTTGCTTTGAGAGGCCCTTGTCCAGAGCAAGTCTAGTATAGGTATTTCCATGTTCTGTATACTCAAAAGCAGTACTCGTGAATTTCAAAGGTCATTACCCGATAAGAGCCAAACATTTGATAGTCTCTCATATAGACAATAATGTCGATGTAAAATACAGTGTAGTCTGAGTTTCTTAAAACAGTATGTGCCTCCTCAATTTCTCTAAGACTAAATAATTCTTAAGAAAATTCCTTATGAGTTATGACCAGTGCTAGCTGTCATGTTTACTCTCGATGTTTATACACAGTGTGTCACACACAGGGCTGACATATGACAAATATGCCAACCTGGTCCCAGGTGTAGGAAAATATGGATGCATTATTAATAAAAATATATGGAGGGGGCAGGGGAAACCCAGTTAGGTCTTATCTTGATTTCTATATAATGTATGTTGCAGGCTTTCCCAGAACAATTGAACAAGCGAAACAATTGAATGCAAAACAAAAGTTTGATATAGTCATTAATCTAGATGTACCATTCAGTGAAATTAAGCGAAGAGTTGAGGTTTGTTCAATGAAATTACTTTTAGAAATCTACTGTCTGTTAGGGAACTGTAACAATAGTGAGCTTAAGCAAGTGATGTTTTTGTCAACACGGACGTCACCCAAAAATTGATATAACTAATTTTGGCGGCATTTTACATCATGGCGCTCGTGTATAAGGAGGCAAACAACTTTAAAAATCTTCTGTTTTGTCAAATGTGTTGAAGACTAACAAACTGACCCAAACACAGTTTTTTATCCAGTGCCCCCTCGGCAATCTGATGCCCGTGTTGACAAAAACGTTGCTTGCTTAAGCCCGTTCTCCACCAGGCGAATTTTTTCGCGCGACGCGAAGCGAAAAATAAATCTTGGCAATGTGATTGGTCAGCGAAAAAATTCGCCGCGAAAAAGTTGGATCAGTTCCTACTTTTTTACTGTTCGCGCGAACAAATTCGCCTAGTGGAGAACGGGCTTTAAGCTCCCTAATATGAAATACAGCTTTTAACATTAACAGAACAATTAATAAGGTTGTAAACCAGAGAATTGGTACTTTAATCATTTCTTAATGACTTAAAGGTCCACAATACCTATCACACTGTACGGAGTATATAGGGGTATCTGTTTTGGTTACTGAAAATTTTGGAGTTGATTGGTTGATGATTAGACTTTCCAAAGACTTCGCTGTGGGTTCTCCCTCCGCCAGGCGTGGCCTGTTCTGTGCCGAAATTGGGTATTTGTTTTAATGATAAGGGTATACTGTACATATTTTGTCTAACTTGAAAAATATGGATGTAGTGGTTAATTCTTTTTGTAACCAAGAGAGAAGTTTGGTGTCGAGAATTTTAAGCATAATTTACTGCATGTATAAAGTTTTCAAAGTAAATTATGCCATAACAATGTCAATGATAATCACCAGCACCATGTTCCAAAATTCTATAATTATAATTCGAAAATTTCGGTTCGTTACTACTCTGACCAAACTACAGTTCTCAAATATTATTAATTAAATTTAAGTTTATATGAGTAACACAACTAGGTATAGAAAGCAAAATTTTAATTAAGAACGCGTATAACGTCTCAAGCTCAGAACTACCTTTTCATTATAATACTAAGCACCTTTTCCCTTAATCGTGAATGTAACCATACTTTGGTCTTTGAGTGAACTTGCAGTAAGGTAATGTACCGTTCATCTTGTATTTTCACCTAACAATTTCAGCAAAGGTATGTTCATCTCAGCAGTGGACGTGTGTATCATCTCGAGTGGAATCCTCCTAAGAAACCTGTAAGTTCTGTGATTGTATGGGGTTGTGTGGGCAAGGTGGTACAGTACATAATACTATATAGTATTTAATTTTGTGTATTACCACCTCCTATTGAATATAAAAAGAAGAAACGGATCGCAATATAATTATACAGGGTGTATAAAAAAAACGCATGAACAGATATGAAATTGCTCTCAATTTCGCAAAACGGCTCTTGGTATATCACGTTTTTGTTATATATAGATATATAGATATATAGATATATAGATATATAGATATATAGATATATAGATATATAGATATATAGATATATAGATATATTTAGGGGCTTCGGTGGCGAAGTGGTTAGCGCACTAGTGAGAACTTCTCAATGTGACTCGAACCCAGTCCTCATGTGAAAAAGAGTAAAAGTCAACGCTCTGCCGAATGTCGTGGGTTTTCTCCGGGTACTCCGTGTTTCCTCCCACAGGGAAAGTTGACAGGGTGGGTTAGGCACATAGGATATGTCTGGAGGCAGATCATTAATGAGGTATGGACTAATAGCGGCTGCTCAAGCGCCATTTGTAAGCTCAAAGTCTACCTCGGTCTGCTTCACGTCAGTCCGGTTCAATCTATCTATTCATAATGTAACCAGTCACTGAAAAGCCCTGATAGGGAGTGTGCTGTGAAATATCTGTATCTGTGTATATATATATATATATATATATATATATATATATATATATATATATATATATTCGACAATTCAATGCACTGCATCTCGTGGATTGCTGACCAGATAAATCGAAATCGAAGTCTGGTCGCTCCAGAAGAGCTGTGGTACGAAGAGTTTAGCAGCCACAGCAGTCTCGTACCTTCGCTCATTTCCGGTGCTCAGTGGACAAGGAGCGACATCGTCCAAATTACCGAGGCAGATCTTGAGCCTGCACAAAATCCCAACAGAGAACCGAATGACGAAACCGTAATACATCCTGGGTTCGTAGCTGAATTTAAAAGCAGACGTCTGGCTAGAAAACGTCAGCGTAGCCGCCAATTGTTCGTGGGAGACACTTCCTCTGACGATGACTCGCTTTCCAATGTTGAGTTAGTTGACCAGGATATTGAGAACATGGCTGAGGCATCAACACCATCACCTAAATATCTGCAAGTATCTCAAATCGAAGCAGTCCAACCATCTAGCGAAAATGACAACACCACCGCTGCACTCCCAAGTTCTGAAATAGAGCATCAAATATCCGAAGTCCAACCAGTCGAGGCATCCGACGAGAATGAGAACAACCCCGCTGCAATCCCAACTTCTTCAATCCAACATCAAATATCCGAAGTCCAACCAGTCGAGGCATCCAACGAGAATGAGAACACCACCGCTGCACTCCCAATTTCTCCAACAGAGCAACCATCAACACGAGCACCACAAGATCTTCCAATGGCACCTGTTGCTGACGTGAGCCCAGAAACAGCCGATCCACCAATCCAACCTCCGACAACAATCATAAACCAGCAACCATCAACATCTCATGAAGGGTCCCAACCACCTGACGACACTCCAGAACGTTGGCAATTAAACAGTATAACATACATGACGAAGGTTGCCAATCTCATCAAATACCAATTCTATAAAAATCTCCAGAAGGGTCATGTTCATTCATTTCTTGAACGTTGGCGGCAGGCGAAATTGAAACGCGATTTCCACGAAATCGCATTCTGGACGAAACCCGATCCCGAAATCGACGCGTGGATGCTGGCAACAGGCAGACTCCGAGAAGTGTTCAACCTAGACACGTTCGTGGAGCAACATCCAGACATCGTTCCCCACCTGGAACAACTGAGAAAAACTTTGAACGTGAGGGTTTTAACAAGTCGTTGTCCTGTGGTTGAAGCGTTGAGGAAAAGAGAAAATCCTGATGAGCAACGAACAGATGACGCTCCTCAACTGTCCTCCCAAACGTTTTGGACCACTATTAAAAAATGGTGGCGTTAAATTATTGGTGACTTATATATATATTGATACATTACATACACTTCTGAAGCATTACTGGTAGAAGTAATTATACTATTATTATACATTGCTGATAGGATAGTTGAGTGATATCACTTGCGTTATTCCTCATCAAATTTTCAGGTGGAATGGCAAGGTGCTACATTAAGTCCCCAGTTATACGATACCGGATTCGTATCGGAGCGACATCAATTTAATGTGTTTTTCTGCTCTTACTTTTCATATTTGAAAGTTTTTGTTTAGTAATGTTATATTATCATAATTTTAAGTGCCAAATTCACCTCGAAGCAGTAAAATTCGATTTCGCTCCGATGCGAATCCAGTATCGTGTAACTGAGGCCTAATCCTTCATGAATTATTAATGAGTTTTGGAAATACCTATTATGGTACATATATATATATATGTGTGTTTGTCGCAATATATTAGCGACTGACAGTTTGATAATTGAAAACAATGGCGCATTAGACAAAACATATAATAGAAGCCATTGTATCAGTTTATTACATTTTTGACAGCGTTTTGTATAACGCAATTTATTTAAGTCAATGTTAAAATAACATAATTTTTATGATGAACATTCACCGGACTAGGTACAGACAAATCGTCGAGAGCGAATCCACCTAGGTTTGTTGAACGAAACGAACAGTGTGATTATGAACCATTACTATGCAAATGAACGTTGCATGATTTGTTAATGTTAATTACATGCTTGTTTTGTAATTGTAACTTTCATGTTTACTTGCTGTGACATTGACTTTGAACCAACATGAAAGTTTCAGGCAATAAACATCAAAGTTACAATTAGAAGGACTTCATTTATGGACGGTGCACGTTCGATTAGAAGTGTGAAAGGATTTAAAGCACATAATTTAATCTGCTTAATAATACCATATATTTGTAAAATATTTATAATATCTCCATTTCGAGTGTAAAATTTTGTATGCTCTTCGATGGGCAAACAGTTGTAAGAGTGAAATCCAAAAGATAAATATGCGCGAAGTTATAAAAATATATGCGTTCTTTTCTTCGATATATACAATCCAATTCTCTTTTTACTAATGTGTATATTAATTAAAGTAGGCAAGTGCAATTTTTTTCCTAAGTGTCAACCAAGTTTTATAGGATTGATCAACACTTATACATAGAAAAAAAATGTCACCCGGATTTTTTATAAGTGTCGAATAAATTTTGTTTTCCAACATTTCGACCGGCTAACAATACAAATGTATATTAAAACGACCGGCTAACAACTGAAATGACCGGCTAACTCATAAAACTAGCCGGCTGAAGTTTTTTTTCTAAGTGTCATACGACACTTAGAAAAAAAACAGCAACCGGCTAGTTTTATAGTTAGCCGGTCTTGGATTTTTTCTAAGTGTCGAATGAATTTTGTTTTGCAACATTTCCTACCGGCTAGCAATACAAATGTATATTAAAACGACCGGCTAAGGACCGGCTAACAACTGAAATGACCGGCTAACTCATAAAACTAGCCGGCTGAAGTTTTTTTTCTAAGTGTCATGCGACACTTAGAAAAAAAACAGCAACCGGCTAGTTTTATAGTTAGCCGGTCTTGGATTTTTTCTAAGTGTCGAATGAATTTTGTTTTGCAACATTTCGACCGGCTACCGGCTAGCAATACAAATGTATATTAAAACGACCGGCTAAGGACCGGCTAACAACTGAAATGACCGGCTAACTCATAAAACTAGCCGGCTGAAGCTTTTTTTCTAAGTGTCATGCGACACTTAGAAAAAAAAACAGCAACCGGCTAGTTTTATGAGTTAGCCGGTCATTTCAGTTGTTAGCCGGTCCTTAGCCGGTCGTTTTAATATACATTTGTATTGCTAGCCGGTAGCCGGTGGAAATGTTGCAAAACAAAATTCATTCGACACTTAGAAAAAATCCAAGACCGGCTAAATATAAAACTAGCCGGTTGCTGTTTTTTTTCTAAGTGTCGCATGACACTTAGAAAAAAACTTCAGCCGGCTAGTTTTATGAGTTAGCCGGTCATTTCAGTTGTTAGCCGGTCCTTAGCCGGTCGTTTTAATATACATTTGTATTGCTAGCCGGTAGCCGGTCGAAATGTTGCAAAACAAAATTCATTCGACACTTAGAAAAAATTCAAGACCGGCTAACTATAAAACGAGCAGGGTGAAGTTTTTTTCTAAGTGTCGATCAATCCTACAGATAGCTTCATTGAGTAGACACTTACTTAAATACACATTAGAAACAAAAATAATTGGACACTATCGGGAAAAGCCACATTTTTATATAATTAATTACATATTTATCTTTCAGATTTCACATTTGTACCTACATGTTTGGCTAACGGAGAGTCTATATATATACCAAATTATAACAATCAGAATGCAGATATTAACAATGTCACAAATATTTGAAGTTTTATTATTACGTAGATTAAATATGCGCGAAAACCCTTTCACACTTAATTGTCAACAAATCATGCAATTCACGTTTATTTTTATTATTTGCAAACTAATTGTTCATAATCAAACTAATTTTAAAACTTCAGCTCTCTTCCTCAAAGTATTTGCAACACGACATGGATTGAAATGGAATTCCGGATGACGCAGTATTTTTGACCAACGCAAACCAAATTTTTCAATGCCAACTCTAATGTACTTATCCTCTTCAATCGTAAAACGAACACCTGAACGCCGTGGGACTGTCTCCATGGGTTTCGTTGGACTATCTTTGCGAACATCGTCTTGTCCACGTGATGACTGGTCAATCTTTTCGTGGTCACTCTCCATGTTCTTACTCTCGTCAACTAATTTTTGCATGCACCAGCGTCCTCTTATCGCTACTTCTCGTGAACGTTTCTTTTGATAGTGCACACGGGCAACGTTTGAGCTGTGCTTTTGGTCTTCGGATATCCATTTCTGTTCGTTTGGCAGAAGAACCTGGGAACTTTCGGTCTCGATGATTTGTCTGTACCTGGTCGGGTGAATGTATTTTCCTATCGCCTCGAACACTAAAACACTCAGAAGATCTGTGAGTTTTTGAAATTGGTTACCATTTCGATTTACCAAAACATACTCGCAAGTGGGTGTGAGAAGGGG